TCATAGATTTTCGACCTTCCTACCAGTCTGTTCTTCAAACAGTAATCAAAAGCAAGATCCGCAGCGAATTTACAACGCAAAAGATGTACAGCATCCATAAATACGCCTGGATAATGCGGAGTCACTTGATTGGTTGTTCAAGGTCATTTATCTGTTCGCTAGGTAGTTCCTGTTTGGGCTGGTATAGTTTAGAGTCACCGAATACCTATTGTAGCATTTGCTATACAATGCGCGAAAACACCATGCAATTACTTACATCTTTACGCGTAAATATGCACTTTAAAGATTCAAGAGTATGTTTACTAAAACTCACTTAGTTTGTTGTTGTTGTTATTGTTGTTAATTTCTCCTAGAAAAACAATGTCCAGATAAGTGTTTTGCTGGTCAAACACTCTTAATTTATTCAAAAAAAATTCTTACCTGTTTAATCATTGAACCGATTCAATCTTTCAGTGATTCAGTAATCAATCTTTTTGGGTAATAATTATGACGCAAATAAATCTTTTCACAGTGTTAAACCCCATGAGACATCACAATTGTTGATACAATTTGTTTATGCCTTGAAATTTTGTTGACTGATTTCTTCATCTCGAACGCCTGACCGTGACAATGAATTTTGTTATTGTAAACAAAACTTGAGTTTGCTTCTTATTCAAAAGTACTCAGTACAACAGTTAGAAGTATGCATTTTGATCATTGAACATTGAATGTTCTGTAGAGAGAGAGAGAGAGATGATGATGAGTTTGAACATCACTAGCTCAGGTATTGAATTTAAAATACCTATTTTACCAGATTTATACTTATTTCAACAGTTATTAATTGACGATTATCGATTGTTTTTGATCGAGTTTTGTTCTCTGAGATAATTGGTTTAATTGGGAAGCTTATGTTGTCCTTCTAGGCTACATCTTCAACTCAGGCTTTAATATGAACTCAACTTTTTGATTGGACACTAGTAACTATTACGATGTGTCTAGTCATTTCTTTGGTCCAGACTGAATTGTGTCAGTCAGGTTCGCAATGTGGCCGCGATTCTAGGTTGCTGACCATCAAAGTGCACATTGATTTGATGATATTAGATAGTTGGAGGCAATCGGCCACAGAAAGGCTTGGACATAAGTTTCGTGCTAGTTGGCACTCACTAGTCAACAAGGCGTATCTGCAACCTTGAAGGAACTTATGCGCCTTCTATGGTTCGAACCCACATCACCCAGTGCTGTAGTCACTCGAATAGTTCAGTGGTAACGCCTCTGACTGCAGCATTCACTGCATGACACGGGTTCGAATCCCAGAAGGGACATGAGTTCCTTCAAGTTTGTAGATACGCCTCGCTGGCTGTTGAGTTCCAACTAGCACGAAACCTAGGACATGCAAGGCTTTCTACCGATTGCCACCAACTATCTAATATCATCAAATAAACTGAACTTATTGAGATTCTCGATGAATGATGATATAATTGTGTCTCCTAGCAACTTTTTGGCAAGTTCACCAATTGCGTCCCAATGGATGCGAACGCACGGGTGACCTTCAGCCGACCAATCATAAAAGTGAGGAATTTTTACACAAAAAAGGACGTTTTTCAAGAAAATGCATTAAAACACATTAAACAGGTTATCCTTATCTGTATGACTTAAAAAAAAAAAGAAAAAAAATTAGGATTCTTTTCCGCCCCCGATGTTTCTTTTTTCTTTTCCAGCCTGACCCAATATCAGCCAACATTGCTCGTCGAGGGAGGCGATGGCTTGGCATACGTAACACATGTGCCAACCACCTCAGTCGATGTAACTTCACGACTTCGTCGATTGATTTCCCCTGTTTACCTAGCACTCGACGACTAACCTCATGTTGCTCACCTTATTATGCCACTTTACACGGGAAATAGAGCGCAGGCACGTATGATCAAAGACAGCTAGTCTTTTCATGTCTTCCACTCTGAGTGGCCAGGTCTCACAACCATAAAGGAGGACGGAGCGGACTGATGAGCAATACACCCGCCCTATGGTCGATAGTCAAACATCTCGTCTACGCCAGAGTCGGCGTAAACTGGCAAATGCGAAACGAGCCCCCTGTATTTGTGCTGAGATTTCGTCAGAGATCAACGCATTGGCACTAGCTGATGGTACTTCCCAAATAAGTGAAGCGGTCAACGTGCTCTACCACTTCACTTCCTATTTTTAAACTAGGCGTCGATGTAGTCCAGTCAGTCCTGTAACATCATCTTGCATTTGGCGGGAGCGAATCGCATGCCAAACATTCGTAGATTGCGGCTCAAGGTGTTTAAAAGACTCTGCATTTCGTCAGCATCTTCGCCTAGAAGGACTATATCGTCTGCATATTCCAAGTCAACAAGATTATTCCCCGGTAGCAAGTCAATTCCTGAGTCACTGAAGTCACCTAGGGTTAAGTCCATTAACACATCTATGATGAAGTTGAATAGAAAAGGGGATAATAGGCATCCTTGACGGACACCACTGGTCGTCATCAGTTCAGATGACAGCTCACCGTAAGCCCTCACCTGACTGTATGAGTGCGAGTAGAGTGCCTTAATCAGTGCAATATATTTTCTCGGAATTCCCTTTACAGCCAAGCATCTCCAGAGAACATCTCGATCGACAGAGTCGAATGCTGCCTTTAGGTCAAGAAATATAATGACTGTTGGATGCCGGTAGGAATGCCTATGTTCTAGAATCTGCCGGAGGGTGAAGATATGATCAATACACCCTCTTCCTGGTCTAAAGCCTGCCTGGCTCTCTCGTGTTTGTGCCTCCCGAGCACCACTCAGTCTACGCATGATTATTGAGCCTGAGACTTTAGATACTATATTAGTCAAGCTAATCCCTCTGTGATTATCACAGGAAGACTTGTCTCCCTTCTTGTATATGGGGATAATCAGTGATATGACTTAAAAATACGTCCCATTTATAATGAGGAGTACCAATTACTAAGTTAGACTAGTTCCTGTACATGTATTCACCGAGGTGACTGAATATGAGCTGTTTCTTTGAATTGATCAGCTCACTTATCCTGTTGTGAAGTCTTCCCCAGACCTCTTGGTTGACTTCCTATGGTTTCCGGTAAGAGGACCGACGACTACTCACCAGGAATCTGTGGATAATAAAACAAATTAAAATAAATAACATCAACTATAAATCTATCCCTAATCGTAACCCTAACCTTAATCCAGACCCTAACACTAACCCTAACCTTAATCTTAACTCTAACCACAACCCTGATCCTAACCATAACGAGCTATCGACAAATTGTCGAAACTGTACTTAAAAATGTGATCTGCGTCAAATTCGCTCCCTAAGTTGGTGAATAGCGTTGACATTTCAGCTATGATAATGACAGATGCCGTCAGCCAATGACTAGCATGCCTTCAAGGTCACTGGAGCGTTCGCATTCCTCGAGGACACTATTGTTGAACTTCCCCCAGATTTTTTCTGAATTGATTGTTAATTTACCTCTCTGTTGGTCATTTTTATCGACTTGAAATTTGAACTTCTTTCTCATGGAACACATAATATTTTTCCTCATATCCAAGTTGGGGATCCCTATAGGAAACACCTTCTCAACAGAACTCCAAGCACACCATCAGATTAATTTTCATATGTCGACTTGTAGAGATTTAATTGATCACAGGTTAGACGACGAATCAATATCACCTTACATTTCATCTCGTAATAAGTTTCGGATAGTAAAGTTAAAATTGAAGTTAACATCTGTGTAGAACAACGAAACTGTATTACGTTGTATAGAATCTGAAGCAAGACCGCTTTGTGCGACACATTTCATTCTGCATAATCATTCCAACTTGAATTTGTGTGAATTCTCATCAAATAAGATGCAATGACTTAACATTTCTGATTTTGTTTGGTTCACGTCTTGTTTTCAGAGATTCCTGCTAAGTATAATTCAAAACTGACATTCTGATATACCTTGAAGTTCTCGCCCCGACACAAAAACATCCTATGGACTGAAACTGTATTGAAAATTCATGATCAGATTTAATTTCAGCAGTGTAGTTGGCTCCAAACACTGATTGTCCATAACGGTGCACAGTGAGTTGAAGCTTTTTAGTGAATGGTGAATAGCATTTGAATCTAGGATGCGCATTTCGTCCTGTTTCGGACTCATCTGGGGTGTTAACGCTTTGGCGTTCGAAGTGGTAGGTAGTGGGTCTGAGCTTCAACGGGATGATGATCACTTACTGGGGAAAGCACGTTCATCCAGCTAGCTGATGACTCCTTAAAGGGGCGAAATGCACGTTAAACTGAATTCCTCTGGTAGTCACCATCCACTAAGTTACTTAAAATTAGCGCTCATACATTAGAAGGAGACAAATTGACATTGAACCAACTTTCAGTCCAATCTAGCAATCAAACTAAATTGAAAATTGGAGTACTTGAAATTAAAGTGTTAACTGTCCAAGTTTAATATTTCAAATATAAACTCTAGCTACTTATAAGTAGTTAGCAGAAAATATAGAAATTAAGTGGAGAATACTTGCGAAATGTAAAACTTTTATCTGTGCACGATAATTTGACTGCATAGTGGATACTACTATATCTGTATCAGTAATTAGAGTGAACACATTGCATAGGAAGTAGAATTTAAATCCCACTGGTTGTACTTTGAGTTGGGGACTAACTACACATTCATTTGTGGCCTGAAATGATGGCTACAAGATAAGAATCCGAGTGGGAAAATCATTACTCCAAGAGAATACGGATATATACATCTGATGAGTTCCAGTTAGGACGAAATAGGCAGTCACGAATTCCACTTCTAGTCGCCAGCAGCTGATATAAAGTGTAACACTTCCAGAATTAGAGCCATTCGCATACTGCTAGCCAACTAGATCCTAAACAAGCCGATCACCCCTCTGGTATTCAGATCATTTTCAATTGGACGTAATAGCTGCGGTACGTAGCATCATATTGTTTCCAGTGGTTAATTCATTGATCTCATTTTTATTCCAGTGAACGTTTACTGTAATATTTTATTACTTTTTTTATAACCGTTTCAGGTCCGTCGACTTCGTTAGCCTGTGCTCTGGCAACTGACAATCAATTCGGAGGGAAAGAACTACTCTCCTTTATATTTAGTACTGTGCTAACTTATATGGTCCCATGTATTCTACTTGTATTCATCAATTCAATCATTCCGATTAAATTAATTAGTATTAAAACACGTCGACGTATACTTTGTAAGAGAGAAGATACACATGCACATTTAATCAATTGGACTAGTAATGGAAAGTCAAGTATTACACCACATAATGATCCAACCTCACCAACTAAAGCATTAGCATCTGCACTGGCTACAATGTTGCTAAAGCGTAGACGACATACTATTCTAGAAGATCGTAAAGAACTTGGACGAGTTGTAGCCTTGTTATTATTATCATGCTTTTATTTATGCTTTACATTTCCAGTGAGTATAAGTTTAACAATACGTGCTAGTTTAAATGATCAACATGACAAATGTGTACATACACTATATGCACACTTATCAAGACTGTTGACGTCTATAAAAGATATTAATTATGCACTGAATGGTTATACATATGCACTATTTTTTCAATTTTATCGTCATAAATTACTACAAATTTTTACCTGTAAATTCACTACTTCTGCTAATAATAATACTCACTATACTCGTCGTGATGGAAATACAGCGACTTGTTCAAGGAATAATAGACGACAATCATCATCGACCACGTGAAAAATTAACGCCGGAAGATAGTGAGAATAAAAATGATAATATTAAGATGAAAAATTTAAGTTTTTACAATCCTATCAAGTAAAGAACAAATCACATCACTTTTGTTTCACATTGAACCCATTGAACACTGAAGACCATGCCAGCATACTCGCCGCGAAAATTGACCAATCAGTTGTTTGTATAAAAATGGAAATCTAAAATCTGTAGGCACAATAAAATCGTATGAACTTTTCTGTGATGTATTGACAGTGTACTTTAAATTGTATTGCATTAAACCCACTTTATGATTCTTCTTCTTCTTTCACATGATTTCGTTCAAAGACGAATTATCTCACTTTTGTTGTGTGTTCTTTCTACCTCTAATAGTGTGCAATTTAGAAAATATTTATTTACTTATTTATATATGTGAATCTGTAAACGCATTTCTCCTCTTTTTTGTTTGATAAACAAACATATTTTTGGGCAAAAATTTCTTTTCAAGAATTTTTACAGTTTTGTAAGAGACTTATACTAGAGTTCACTAACATTACAAATATAAGAATAATAATCCAAGTCAATAGAGTGTTAAATAACAATATATTGCCAAAAATGCAGTGACGAGTTATATCAACAAAAAGGATTACTTGGACATAAAGTCTAAGTCCTCTGCTACAAATTATTTATATAATCCACGGGTACGTTAATTGTTTGGGTTGCGTCTGCTGTAGCTGCTGTGTTCCGGTTGTAGAAATGTCTTCGGTTGAGAGTAGTAGACTGCTACAATAAATCTGAAGTATACAACACGGTGTGAGTTGAGCAAGTAAGCAGAAATAACCAGGGAGAAGACGAAGTCTCCAACAACAGAGTGTATTTTTCAATTGTCCTCGGAAGTTATGTATATTTCAACAAGAAGCGTTTTAAACAAAAATTATGTACAATATCTCGAATTTCTACAAATAACCAAAAAGTGTACAATCACATTGTTACGTACTCCACACGGCTCCCCCCCTAGAGGTCCGGAGAGACAACCGGAAAATGATAAGTAAAACTGTGAAGTAAATAATAATTGTAATAACAATTTTTGGATAAAAATAGGGATATATTACAACATGCATAAACGCGAGAAGGTATGTGAATCATGTAAAGTCTGAAAGCATATACAATGAGTTCAGCAATAAAAATTGAAATAGAAAGTCATTTCACTTAAATTTGCGCTAACCCTGAACATAGATTTTTAATGTATAAAGGAAAATATGTAAATACACAGTAATTAAGGAGGGGAAAGAAAACATCAAAAAAATATGGAATAAAGATCAATAGTTTCTGAATAGGACAATACCTGTTTTGTAGGTGAGGTACATATAAATAAATAATAGTGATAGTAACATCAAAGTTTACGACGAAATACTAACGGTCATGATAATAATGTCTAAACGAAAAAGATAATAATAATTTGTAATTATATATTTTTTTTATTAGTCCTCAAAATGAACGTAGCGGGCCGGTTTACTGATTTGCCGACCACTACGTGTTTGATATGGAGGGAGGATAAGACTTGGTGCCGATGGAGTGGAATCGGATGTTTGATTATTTGATTGTGCAGTTGCCGATGTAGATTCAAAGTCGTTGTCTGTGTATGCGGGTTTGATTCGATCAATGGAAATAGTCTCTCGTTTTCCATTCTTGTTCACTGTAAAGTGTTTGTCTGAACGTTTAATAACTTGAAAAGGTCCTTCGTATGGAGGTTGCAATCCTTTTCTGATGGCGTCGACTCGAATGAAGACGAAGTTGCAAGTTTGTAGATGTTTGTTGATCTGATCTCGTCGGGAGATTGTCGAGGTGCTGTTGGTTGAAGTTGAAGCATTTGTCTAGTTAATCGGTTGGTGAAGTCGGCAATGTTCACGTCTGTGGAATCGGCTGAGGAGACTAGCTGTCCAGGCAAGGTTAGGTTGGTGCCATAGACAAGTTGAGCCGGTGTACATCCTAAGTCTTCTTTGATAGTAGATCGGATACCAAGTAAAATCAAAGGTAAGTATTCACTCCACTTAGATGTATCATTCTGCGCCATCAGGGAGCTTTTCAGTTGTCTGCGGCATCTTTCCAACAGACCATTCGCTGCAGGACGATAGGCTGTTGTGGAGATATGTTTCACTCCGAGGAGTCTCGTCAGTTCGCGAAACAGTGTCGATTGGAATTGAGGACCTCGGTCGGATGTAATAGTAGTTGGTACACCGTAGTTTGACACCCAGCGGTCGAGAAAAACCAAAGCAACATTTTCAGCAGATATGTCGTTTAAGGGGCATGCAATAGCCCAACGAGTAAATCTATCAATCGCTGTTAGGATATGTGTATATCCTCTTGATGTTGGCAATGGTCCCACGATATCTATATGGATATGCTGAAATCTCCTTTCGAGTAATTCAAACGTCTTCGGGGTTGTAATAGTGTGGCGGTGTACTTTGGAGCATTGGCATTGGAGACATTCTCGTGCCCATCTCCGAATGTCAGAGTTCATTTTAGGCCACACGAAGCGTTCGCTGATCAGTCTGACCGTGGCGCGTACTCCAGGGTGAGAAAGCGAATGTAAATGTTCGAACAATGCTTTTCGGCAACTGAGAGGGACAAATGGACGATTAGTGCCGGTAGATACATCGCAGACTATGGTTGCATCTGATAAGGGGATAGGCACATCTTTGAGCTGTAAAGAAGAGTTTCTGCGGCAGGTTTGGAGTTCAACGTCATCTCTTTGTAATTGAGCCATACGATCAAGACTGATGTCTACCGAAGTTTGAAGCTGGTTAATGTCGCTTCTTGAAAGAGAATCGGCTACCACGTTCGCATCCCCTTTGATGTACTGGATGTCGGTTGAAAATTGGGAGATATAATCCAGCTGTCTGGCTTCTCTAGGGGAGTGTTTATCGAGTGAAGTAGTGAAAGCATGACACAGGGGCTTGTGGTCAGTAAAAATAGTGAAATGCCGGCCCTGTAGTAAGTAACTGAAATGCTTCACTGCAAGATATATGGCCAACAATTCTCTCCCAAAAGTGCTGTATCGTGTCTGAGCCGGTTCCAACTTCTTAGAAAAGAATGCGAGTGGGGTGACTTCACCCTTCATCTTTTGTTGTAATACTGCGCCTACAGCTACTTGGGAGGCATCTGTGCACAAAATAAGCGATGCTTCGGGGTTGATATGGGATAGCATAGTGACTTTGGATAAGGCGTCTTTTGCGTTGCAAAAAGATTCGTGTGCTTGAGCTGACCACTGAAACTTTTTAGGATCATTTTTAAGGAGGTCGGTTAACGGCTGGACGATGGAGGCACACGAAGGATGAAACGCCGATAGAAATTAAACATCCCCAAAAAACGTCTGACCTTCTTGAGTGAATCTGGTTCGGGGAAGTTTTTGATGGACTCTATCTTTTCCTCCGTGGGCGTAATACCATTCGCGGTTATGTGGTGTCCCAGAAACTGTATTGAGGAGACACCGAATATGCACTTTTTGGGGTTAATGACGACTCCATATTGCTCAAATCGTTGAAATAAGATGGTGAGATGAGCAGTATGTCCTTCGGGCGACGAGCTAGCAATTAAAACGTCATCGATATATACAAATACAAAGTCCAAACCTTGTGTGACCTGATCCATGAACCGTTGGAAGGATTGTGCGGCGTTCTTTAGGCCAAATGGCATGCGGAGAAATTCGAACAAACCGAAAGGTGTGATGATGGCCGTTTTTTCGATATCCTCTTGGGCAACTGGTATTTGGTGATAGGCCCTGACCAAGTCTACTTTAGAAAATATGGTTTTTCCGTGTAATGTCAGGGAGAAATCATGAAGATGGGGAATAGGATAACGGTCGGGAACTGTGGCATTGTTTAAGTGTCGGTAATCCCCACATGGCCTCCAATCATGATCAGCTTTAGGCACCATGTGTAAGGGCGAAGACCAAGGACTATTGGAGGGTCTGATGATGCCGAGCTGCATCATGTGTTCAAATTCTGCCTTGGCTGCTGCTAATTTGTCCGGGGGTAATCTACGAGGACGAGCACGAACTGGTTGACCCGTAGTAACTCTCTTGTGAGTGACTGTATGAGGGACGTCCTCGACGTTGTACGACGGCTTAAGAATTTTAGGGAAACGATGAAGTAGGGCGGAAAAAGGGAAATCCGCTGGTCTTTCAATACTGATATTATAGACAGAATAGTTGGAGATAACTCCATGGATCTTTAGTTGGGTGTTGTTATCAATCAGTTTTTTATTGTTGACGTCAACTAACAGGTTGAAATTACTCAAGAAATCCGCTCCGAGGATGGCGTGACCGACGTCGGCTACTATGAAAATCCATGTGAAACGCCGACGTAAACCTAGATCCAGTATGAGGGATTGCTCTCCATACGTCTGTATGCTTGTGTGGTTAGCTGCCCGGAGAGACAGTTTTCCGGGTGTCCGTGTAGATCGCCTGGATAGTGAAGGAGGGATCACGCTAACTTCTGCTCCCGTGTCTACCAGGAATAAAGTGTCTGAAGTTTTGTCCTTCACATAGAAGAGGCGACTTGTTTGCTTGCCAGTAACAGCTGTCGCCATCACTGTCTGGCTGAGGCGTTTCCCTGAGCCTGGTTGGCTTCGCTAAAGCTGCACGGTTTTACACATTTCAGGGCATGACGTCCAAACTTCCAGTGATACCAGCACATATTACTATCCCGAGAAGACGTGTGAGAACGCTGTCGTGAGAAGGATCGTCGTCGTGATAGTGACCTTCTTTGTGAACTCAGCCTCCGGACTCGTCGATCAGACCTATTAGTTTCCAACTTGTCAATCCTTGTCGCTAAGTCTGCAATGGCGGCGAGTATCGGTGTGTCTGCCGTGGGTGTGGAATGACACGGTGTGGCACTATCAGACGCTATGTGACTTATGGTGTTATCAGATAAAACATCCATAATACTATCTGCCATGTCACTTAGTTGGTCTAAGTCATACGACTTTCCTGAGATGATTAAAATTTGCTGGACATTTCTAGGTAAACGTTGCAACCACATCTGTTTCAGCACTACCTCGTCTACTTTATGATGTCCGATTAACTGGCGCATGTGCCTGAGCAGCTGGGATGGTTTACGTGGGCCTAGTTCACAGCCTGTGAGTAATTGTTGGATTCTTTTCTCATCCGACAAACTGGTGCGTTGTATGAGGAGGGCTTTAAGTTTATCAAATTGATGTTCCGTCGGAGGATCTTCGATGAAATTGCTGATTTCTGTCAATACTGACGGAGGGAAATCTGCCAGCACCATACCATATTTGGCTATCTGGGACTTAATGCCCCGTGCTTCTAGCAACGGCTCAATTACCGCAAACCAAATCCTTGGTTCTGCGAAACCGTATTGAGGTAAACGAAAATCAGTGATGGCATTTATTGTGGCATTTTTCTCGCTATTAGTTGTCTGCTCGTTTGATATACCGGACTGAGGTGATGACATTATAAATATGAGGTTATTGGTGCAAATTAGGATACAAATATAAACCACACACAAAATCACAATGAATATACAAAATAGCAAAAATAAGGAGATGAATATGTGGAGTCCTCAAAAAGAAACTTATCCAAATTTTACTACTATGTAAATAATGAACATATTGTACACCACTTTGTTTTAACCAGAAACTCTGTACTTTGACTTTACCTCGGGTTTTGAATAAATATACAGCTGTGCCTTCGACTCTCCGTCTTCTCCACCATCTCAACTGCCGTCGATCAATCCTAATCACCTGCTTTCTATCTCTGATTTTTGCAGGAGCACCGTAGTTTCTTCCTACGTACTTTGGTCGACCTCCGGCAACGTTAACATTGGAGAATTACTACTGGAGCAGTCTTTCCGCAGCACCTGGAGTCTATTACGTTTATTGTGGACTGTGGACCTTTGTAAACTCAAGTAATCAAACTTTAATACATTCTTCCCGTAACTAAACTCATTTGGTATTTTATTTTCTACTTGAATTTGGGTAACTAAGCTAATAGAGTGAAAAGGTCCACCACAATAATTGGTGAGCCCGTTTCGAACCCTTTTTTTATGGTTAACCCGTTTTCGAACCTTTTTGTTTCGATAGTTACCTCGTTTTGAACATTTTTGTT